TGCATTTCGCATAAACTGAAGTATATCTTTCTTCGTTATTATTCCAAGCACTTTGCCATTTTTCGTCACCAGTACCTGAAGTAAAAACAACTTCGAAAGAATCCGGTTTAAGTGCAGCATGGAATAATTCTAAAATCATTAACGTTATTTAGGACCTTATACTAAGCCTTACGCCTGGAGATGCGAAAAAAAATTCATTTAAGCTAGCTATTTCTCTATGTCTATGAAATAGCTTTTATTTAAATTACTGTTTACACTTTTAGTGAATTTTTATAATAACATATGCAAACAATGGGTTTAAAAGACGCCGTTTCTTACGGCACACTCATTGGGAAAAGAAGTGAAATTCATAAGGATTTCTTTCCTATCATCACACAAGAATTGCAGCACATTGCCCTCTATGTTGCAACCGCAGAGCATGTGTTGAAGCTCAGAGAATGAGAACATCACTATGACCACGCTCCAACGCCGCCTATTACAGCTGTTGCAATGTACGTTGCGACAATAAGAATACTGTCGACCCACCTGCCGTAAACCAAGTTTTCTGAACATATCGATAACGGTTTCCATTGGTGTCTGATCAGTCACGGTCATAGGGGCCTGCAAGAGGGTAGTAAGTGCATAGTGGATACTGCAATACGAGTTGAAGGCGGAAAATTTTATCAATTAAGGAGAAACATACGAGATCGATTATTTTTCGTAGCCTGAGTGGGGCTGGACCTCCCGCCGTTGATTCGGGAACTTGATTAGTAAAGTAAGCAATAGAGTCTGTCACGACATAGGGTTGGGTTTTCCGTGCTGCATGTAATGCAAGTTGTAGATCACGTCTGAAATATGAAAACGGCAATGTAACAAACACGTTAAGATAAATAAGAAAAATTCGATTTTTAATAAGAAAATTGACTAATTTTAATTAATTTTATTTAAATGACATAAGAACGTCAAAAAAGGATAGGTATGACAATGACAATAGCAGTGGCTCACCGAGTAACGAATCCAACCAAATACATGCTGTTTGTGGACACAACTACGGGGAACCCATTGAAGTTCGTCTCGCGTAGTAGCTGTTCGATGTCGCCGACAGACATTCCATCCTACAAAACGGTATAAAAACGCTGACAAACCACAAAACAAAATTCACCCGCACTATGGAGATTAAAAAAATAATTTAATGTGAAAAGTTAAACTACCTGTACTATTACAGCGAGTTCATTGCGATCTTGGCGGGTCTCGGGTGAAGCAGGAGACGTAGTGGTAGCCGTAGCACATGGACGCATCACCTTAATATTTTGTTCACAGACGTAATATTCTACAAATCGGTTGCACATACCTGTACAGCGATAGTAGAGTAGGGGTATTCTTCTTTGTTATCCAAAAATGGATAACCATTAAGCTCAATATGAGCATCGTATATACCCTATAAACACAATTTGACACAACAAATTATAAGACTGTGTAAGTACGTCAAAGAAAGATCGTTACAAGAAGAACCTTAGAATTTTTCATTTCATATGAAGGAAAATGGAAAGGTAACATAAGCACTTACAGTTTTGCAGATGGCATCACCAATCCATTTGGAGAACATCGTGGCCACCATTGTAGGCACGATAAATTCGAGACTACCAGTCAACTCGAACATGATAACCACGAGCGATACCGTCATTCTGAATAAAGAAACCTTTATTCTGAGTGCTGTTTCTGATTCTCTCGAGGATTATGGAAATGAAGACGGAACCAAACTGACCTGGTTACACCACCCAACACCGCCGCAGCACCCACCATAGCGTACAGTCCAGGCATGACACAGTCCTTCCCAATTTGGCAAGACCAATAAGTCGAGTGCCCACTCTGCATCTGTAAAGAACAATGATGAAGAGATGGAAAAATGCCACGCTTCAAACAACGGCACACTCTACAAACCAATTTGTTTCGAAATATAATAGAAGGCTACCTGAAAGCTTCGAAATACGCTTTCCATACTCATTCCCATGAGTCGTCCAGCAATAGCACCCATGGCGATTGAAGGTACAAACAAACCACAAGGAACCTAAAAAGGATTACTGACTCTACCGATGTACATTTACCCCAACCGGTCAACTTACTTTTATACCGAAAGTAAAGATTGTGAACACGAACTTGAAAATAAGCGCCATTATCAAATCCCAAAAAGCGCTCTAAAATAAAAATGTGGTCGAATAACAAAAAAGCATAAGAGCATAAAATGAAAATCTAACCTGCACTCCACTTCCAAATACTCCAGTATGATAATTGTCATCAACCTTATTACTTGTGAAAGTTTTATTCTGATAATCACACAAATTTACCATATAATCCTCAGGACCACATCTGTCGAAAAGCTGTAAGCAGTTTTTTTTTCCTTCAGAAACACGTAGAGAGAGGAAACTGAACCAGTAGTGGAACGCATCGTTTTGTACTCCTTCTGACTAGTAAAGGACGCCATTCGTTACGGGTCCCACTGCCTCCTGCT